GTAAGAGAAACCCGGAAAATATTGTCTCCAAAGGCATATATTAGAAGTATAGTTGTTCTCAAAAGCGTGAATTTATGTTAATCATGACATACTTCTCGAAACTTTGTATGGAATGTACACCGAGTGGAATATTTCTCAGGAAGATCAAGAAATATGTACAAGCATTTGACCAATGTAGATGGTACTGAAGCGGCTGCCATGCATTCAATTAAACTAGTATGTCCAGTGCTCATTAAATTTAAAGAGTTTAGTAGATATGACCCTTTATTGGTAATTACAGCGTGTTCATAGTCAGTAACTTCGAGACAGTCCCCAACGTTCTCATCTGGCTCAAGAAATTGGGCAATAGTAAGACCTCCTTCCTCTAAAAAAAAGGTGAAACAAACAAGAATTATAGTACCTGAAGACTTGTTCGCCGCTCTGGCCTTAATTTCACGCACAAACAATTGCGAGACACGTGCACAAAATATATGTATATCTGGGAATTTATCAACAAAGTCGACGGGTTGGGCATCGTGAAAAACCTAAACTGCAATGAAACTAAAAGGAAACAGGTAACCTTGCAGAAGTATGGGAGTGTGTTATATAAAATAGTATCCTTATCGTCATTGTTTTGAGCTTGTACGTACTGATTGAACAATGATAGCAGTCTGCGACAGTCAAAAGATACAGGTGAGCTGGTTTCTCTGTTAACACTTTTCGTCAAATGCCTCCTCATGAAGTTCATGACCCGAATCCTGTTTATATACTCACTAACCAAACCATACAGTAAGAACCGAATGACCTCCAAAAGCTGGATTAAGCGCCTAAAAACCACAATCCAAATAGCGTAATATAAACCATCCACAATCCATTACATCTGTAACGTTAGTTAATAAACAGATTTATTTATTTTAACAAATGCAACATAGTTCTGCAATGCCTGGTGTTAGATGTTCAGCATAAGCAAATTCTGAATAGTATTTGGAAACAAATGGGAAAGATTTCCCGGGAAAAATTCGGATGGAGAATCCTGGCGGGAGGCTTATGCTCCTCCACGAGAGGTAACAGGAGTAAGTTGGTTATAAGTAAGCTGCTAGAGCCAACAGATACCTTGCTACTGAAACGTCTACTGGTTGGCTATAATATAGAACTACATGTCTAGAAGAGGACTGTAAAGATTAAATTAGCTTATTCACTCCTTGAAGATGAGAGATAAGAAATGTCATGCAAACACAACAGAAATGAATCAGTGACCAAAAATGTTGGTATTCAATAAATTTTATGTCGTAAGAAGTTTAGATAGATGGTTGACCATGATGATTGAGATAAAACCCAATGTAACAGTTTCCATGTATGGATGTGCTCATATATCTGTGAAGAACCTCTCGGCCTGCATTTCACATGACATCCCTTTTTTACTTTACACATAACGCCTTTTATTTTGTTCTCTTTATTCACTAGCATTACGTTCATCTTTCAGTATGTTTGCAATTGTTATTGTGCTGTCTACAGATTTGACACTTCGAACAACTCATTTACGTCATGACGACTTATTCCACTTTCCTTTTGCTTAAAATTATATTTCAGGGGCTCACATAGCGAACAGACGTAGTCTTTATTGCTCTTTCTTGATTCCACTAATTTGGCCCGTTTGCGTGGAACAGAAACATTTTCCCACTTGTAAGGAGCATCTAATGTCGTTGACAAACAACGAACAGTATAATTCTCTCACCTCTTGGGTTATGATAATCTTATAACTGTTTTCGAATCCTTTCAGATGGTCAAATTGACGTATTCTATTCTTTGGACAGTGGTGTTACTTGGCTGATGTAAGTTGAGTTTTACCAAGAGTTGTTATAATTACCCCGTGGTCTTTGGAAGAAATATTGTTTTCATATATTTCATTTATTATTGTACCTACATTTTCTATGGCAGTACCTCTTCCGTAATGTTGTGCATGTTCTTCTATTCTATCACACAAACTTTGCTGACCGCCATTGTCCTTTGGTCTATTTGGAGCCAAAGCGAGTCACTGATGAAGAGGCCAATGGCACAGATATATTGTTATTATAGGAATTCCCACAATTCTGAACTTCACAACCGCTTCAATGAAAAGACGTCAAGCGCTATCACAACTATTAGTACCTAGACATAATCCTGATATTGAAGACAAACACTGTGCTCTGACTGGTTCATCACAGCTGCTTGACGTCAAGAAAAGCTAACGTTTGTCACCAAGTAAATTTTATCAAGTCAGCACTTGTGGCAGCTTGACCTCAGCCCATCTCCATGGTGATCTCCTTAATTTATTTCCTGAAAATGTAAACTAATCTTGTAAGACCCCACTCTAGAATTTGTTAAGGAAAGTGGATAGCCTGATACCAAGCATAGTAGTTCAGGTTGTGGTGTTGTTGGATTATGGTCTACTATGATATTAGTACTGCTCTAATAATGGACCTAAGCCTGAAATCGTAGAGTTATCATGATATAACTGCCTAATCTATATGATCTTACGTGGAAGTCACACCATTGTCTACACTGACTCATCTTATCGTAAAGATTACCAATATATGATGGAGAATAGAACAATATATTTAGTATGAGTAAATGACAAAAGGTAACATTCAACGGGAACCACGCCTGAAAGGCCGAGCCATGCCGTTCTTCCAATTCGAATTAATTGCATCCATTGTTCCCGCCTTCTTCGTCGTCTGGTTTTACTCCGCGCTGAATGTCGAATATCTAGTTCTCCAACTGTCTCATGTTGAGCTTTGAGGATTGTGTAGTTATAGCTTAATGCCACTACAGAGTGACTGAATTATGTAGGCTCAACCTAAAGTACATAATTTAAGTCACTACGTCACTGCGATCAATAAATTGGTAGTATTAGGAGTAATAGTTAGATAATATGATTTAACTCATTACACTGATTATAGTTTTAAACCCACCACGTCCTAGGTGACATCGAGTCACCAAACGACTGCCAGACAAAATGTATAATTCTACTTCGAACAGTTCTATCTCCTGGACACAATACCGTTTAAAAAATTGTGGTCGATGTAAAAGCAGTCCTCACTTTAAGAATTTTCATGGCTTGTGTCCTGTAGATAAACCAAATATGGTTCCTAAACCCGACTTTGTGCTTCTAGATGCATTAAATCTACCTGATACAATCAGCCATACTACCCAAACTCTCTACTATAAGTAGAAAATTTATAATACATGAGTGAACCTTCTTGCGATGTAAGAAATTTCGTTGGCAAACCATGCTTCCGTAACATATTATAAACTTCCCATTACATAACCTCCATGAGTCTTGAGTGAACAGGTACTTTCGTGAGATTTATAGGCGTATTAAGGCAGTCTACTTTGAAACTTGAAGTGATGCTGTGGTTGTATTTATTACTAATCTCACGATCTTTGAAGCTGAACACATAATTACCGAAACCTACATTCAGCGTGCAGCACTCAGAGGACACGAAAAATGCTGAACGCGGGAATACATGGTTATAAAGATGGCGCAGCTCGGCCATGCGGGCGTGGTCACTATGTGACCTATTCCTATAAAATGATGTGACCTCCACTTAAGATCTTATATATTAGGTAGTCAATCGTGACAAATGTACAATTTCGGGATTAAATTTATCGTTCTAATAGCTACGATAAGTGTACTAATATCGAACTAGATCATAATCCTACACTGATGAGCCTGACTAAAGAAATGGAGCCTGCTATCAATTTTCATATTCACTTTGGCTTAATAGATTGATTTTTACTTATTTTAACCCACTACTCTGTTAGTCTATTGATTAGTGCTCATCTGTATTTTATCGTGATATTGGTTAGTACTCGTAAATCCCTATTCTGTATTTAAGGCAATCAATAAAAATAGGTTGCGCGTTGTTCATCTGCTCTGTATCACTCTTCTGTCTCAAGTTTTTCAACTGCCATATGTTCTACTTGTGAAAGATAAAAGTAATATAATACATTCAATCTATAGACACTTGATACGAAGACAATAACGGTAGTGGTAACACATTTTACGAAACTGAGGAATTAACACCTACATTTCTGTATACCACACCAGTACACTTTAGATACTGTAGGCTCTTGATGCTAGGCAGAGATGGCCGTCCAGTGTTTCAGGGTTTCAACAGTGGCCTAACACAGGTCATAATCTCAATTAAAACTCAAAAATTTCCGCCACCCTATACTGATAATCTCGATATATAAATTGAATCTCACTTTGATTGATTGGTTCGCGCAATCTCCTTATCACAACAAATATACTCGATGTGGCTGCAAACCGAATTTTTGATCTGAAAGTGTATCAGATCCGTAAAATAACTTAATCAAGGCTTAACACTAAACAAAATAAATAATATGCATAAACAAGTCTTAATACTATAAATCAAAATGGCACTTTATGAATAATATGACGGCAGAAGAAATAGCAACTAAAACAAGGTGACATATTGATTAACAAACTGAAAAAAACAGTCAAGTAAGTATTACTTGAGAGCTTTTTCTGGGATAACTACCGCTAATGGAGTTCACTACATCAACAAACACTCTTCTGCATGGTTGGAATCGACGATATGAAAAGAGATATAAGTCCAGTAGCTGCACCGAATAATTCTTGAACAGTTATGTTCCACCATGAATGGTGTGCTTCATAAAGTTTTTCTGACAGATTTCTAATTAAGGTGACTTTACAGAGCAGTTTTGCCGATAATAATAACCCACTTATCATATTTAAGTCTCGGATAGATACCCTTTAGCCATTAGCAATAACGTCTTGAGCTGCAATTCATCAGTAGTAAAAGGAATGTAGATTTTTGAGGGACGAGCCCTCCTTTCTGTGTCAACTTCGTCCACAAAATTAATTAACCTCCAACAATCCGTCACCAAATGACCAGATAAAGCACAGTATTTTTAATATCAAGACATGAGCGTAAAGAAATCAGTTAATTTACACTAGCTCATCAAGAACATATTGTTTATTGAATTATAAATTTATTGTATGATGTGCGAACAATGAGTTATGCGTTACTCTAATGGGTGTATTAGGGTTACAACTGGCAACAACGCTAGTGGCTGCAAGTGTTCTGTCGAAAGTCATTTCGTTCTTCTCGTTTACACGTTTCTTAATTACGGGTCTCACGCGATACGTCGTACCAACAGATCAACAACTCCTAGAAGCTAGTGGGAACTGTAAAGTAAAGATCAAAGGTATGTTTCTATAGCTTAAGATTTTCTTTCGTGTCGCCTGTCCTAAATTAGGTACAAAAAATACACCACCACGATATCGTTACAGCATGCTATATGTGTTTCTCGAACAAATGTCCCGGATACTTAAACCTGAGTTACTTTGGTCTCATTTATCATGTTTACTGGACGATTTAAAATATAGACATAATAGGGTTAAAAAAATTACGTCAATTTCTCACTCGTCATAGAAGTATGGCCATTGGCAGACTTAGTTTAGTGCTGCAATGCTGTTCTAGGTTGCGAATGATGATGACATATCGCGTACGTATTCTATTCATTGTTTTCCGTTCAATTATCTTTCACAAACAACCTGTCAAAATTTCCTAGGTTCTTTTTGTCAAATACTGATGGGCTCTTATCTAATTAATGAAGCACGAGATTTGTCTTTAAGATGGTCTCTTTGAGAATTGGAATGTTAGTTACGACAAAATTAAACAAATTCTGTAAAACCATCTTTATGAACTCGTTTCCCTTCTAGCTTTTTTTGTATGTATTTTTTTCTGTATGTAAAATAACTTTCAAAGTGTTTTTGTGGGTCCGCTTTTGCATTTGGTTGGTACGGATGTAAATCAGTTATACTTAACAGTTATAAGATCAGTGACCCCAGTTCCTAAAATATTGGCACAATGTTCGTGTATCTGACTACCGAAACACGATACTAATGTTTTATGGTGTTTATATTAAAGTCTAACTTTCAGTGTTTCCCGAAAACATGTGGGTCATTCCAAAGTCATCTCAGTCGTTTTCATTTCCCGATCTCGATAGCTTTTTTATATACTGTATCTAAAACTTCGTCCAGCACTAATAGTTGTCAATGAGTGGGTTTGTTGTTCTATGATGTTTAGGCAAAGCGAATTATTATCAGGTGCTTTCAAGCTTTTGCCTACATTATATCTTCCGTATTTATGACTTCTAATCTCAAGAAAGATAGTGGATACTCATCCATGAATGTCGAGACTTCTCGAAAATTTAGTCTCAATTTGAATCATAACTTCTGTATCGAAAGATTAGGAGTCTAAGTTAGATCTGAAAGCCGCATAAAAATTAGTGTATCGGATAAACTTTAAACGGTTATGTGAAGATGAAGGGAATTTACCGGCGACCTAATTATAAAATGTGGTGCTTAAGACCTGACACGTCAATCAGGAATCTGGCCAAAAATCCACTAAATCTCAGTATCATGATGACCTTAGTCCTGATCAGTAAACTGCGAAGTCGATCTTTATAAAATCCTAAGAACTGCTATGACAAATGTGAATAAATATAAACTTAATGTTCTGTCATAACTCTTTCTTCATCTAAGCTACGAAACTAATTTAAAAACCTCTATAATTACTTTGAAAAGGTTCAAATCGTAGAAAATATTCCTGCATTTTGTATATCTACCTTTTATAATTTTACATGTCCATCGAAAGTTATGGGTTTACTTATTGAACTCCAACAATTAGTAAAGACATTATTGCTCGTCAAAATATGCCTTACTTCCCACAAATTAAATTAATATATGGTCCCTAATGAATAAGGAGACCTGAATATGGAGCAGCAGCTTATTTCTTAAGCGACTATGTTTTCAATCAAACATTTGAAGTCCACTATCAATATCTGTATGAAAGGGTGGGTATTATCAAAAGTACTTACAAACTGTGACGAAAGGCCTATTGTACTTACATATTCCCCTCATGAACTACACAACCTACAGTATTTAAACTGCTGTGTGTTGGAATTAACCACTCCAAAAGAATAATCAACCAGAAGCTCTTTACATAAACAATCAAACACAACGTGAAAATCTGGATGTGATCACTTTAACACGATTTTTCACAACTCAATCTAGGCCTTTTTAGTTTACTTCTTATTAAATAAAAGTATAAGACATTCGTGAAACCTAAAAAAGCACGACTGATAAATCTTGTCATTCACCCACTGTTAGCGGGACATAGACTGGACAAAAGCATGCTCAATGCACGATCGCTTTGGTGCATGCTGATTGGCTAATTCTTATCCAATCAGCGTTAGCCAATACTGAGTAAACACTAGAAATTTCATGTGAAAAACCATAAATATACCAACGTTTTCCTTATTGCGCTCACTTGATTCTTACTTCCATCTAACCTTGTTATTTGGAATATAATCTCTTTCCTGTCCAACCGTGTTCTGATTTGGGGACTTGTCGAGTGAATCGGTGTCCGAGAATACTAAGCAATAGGAATAACTGGGTTATAACTGTAAGAGAGAAATATAACAACCCACCATATGAATATGCTTCTACCAAGTATAATTGCAAGTTAGGCATTTGTCGCATATTTAAATAATCTATAAAATTTATAGTTAGTAACCATCCAATTCCATAAGGGATATTGCAAGGACGTGTGTTAATGTTGTATTTGCTACATCATAAAAATTGTAACTGAAAGTACGTTCTACAACATATCGCCCATCTTGAAACATAACCTCTTTTTTATTTCAGGAAAAAGAAAGAGAAATGACTTACTTTCTGGATCCCCCAATGGAACAACTTGTCCCTCTGATACTTTCTATTTTCCCCGCTCTACAACCATTCATCTGAAGCAATCACATGTATCTACTTCTGATATAGCCATTTTACCATTATATTCTAGTCACCAATGGCTAGTCGACTTCACCGTTTGTGCTTCTTGTGTATATTTAATTAACGAAGTAGCCTATAATTGTATCATCCCATGGTATGAGGGTTTTGACCGAAATCAAACAAAACTATCACGTGCCAGTACAAAACAAGATTCTTCTTATCCCATATCTCTCAATGTACGTATCAATTTAAGTCTGGTTTGGATGACTTTAAGCCTTTGGTTCACCATTCGCACTCTCGTTTCCTTAACAGCAATATACTTTCAATCTAAAAATAATGCCACGAAAATCGAATCTCGATCTTCTAAATTCACTACAAATACAGCACTTACAAACATGCCTTCAAGTGAATGTATACTCATCTTTGCAGCTGGCTTTTTCTTCCTTGTTGCTGCAACTTTAATTCTTTCTCTTGATGGAACGTTGGTTGACTTTGGTCTTCAAGCTGCTTACGGGAATTTGACTTTTGGAGAATTCTCATTTTCTAAATCTCCAATTATTAGTTGGGGTGCATTTAATTTCATTCTAGCTGTTATAGCCTGTATAATTGGTTCACTGTTTGTTTATCCAGGAATAAAATTTGGGAAGATATACTTAGACACAGTTAAGTACGTGTAAATTTTGTAGTGAATAATAATCGGTTTTTAATTACATTTACTGTGCCTGTATTTTAATTCCTTTGTAGATTATCCAAGCAGCGTTTAATAAACCATTTATTCCCTTTAGACATCAGGCTCTAGAAAACTATCAGTACCCTAGTTACACAGTAGAAATTAAGTGTCCTAGGCTTTTCGTACCAGATTGTAAATTTTATTTATTTATTTGAACACATGAATATTGGTACAAGGGGGCACCAGATATATATGCGCCACACAAAACAATGAGAATGGGAAGAGAAAAAGAAGTTAAGGTGCGTATAAGAAAGAAAAAAAGAACAATAACGACCACAGCTTAGTGTATGGTAGTGTAATAATAATAATAATAGTAGGGGAAACGGAAAGGTACAACCAAAAGAATTCTTCCAGTTAAGGAAGACAACCACTTTTTAGGAAAAAAGTAAAAGAAGGTTACAGCAGCATAGCCAGTGGCTTCTATTCTCAGCCATATCTGATAACGTCTCAAGCCACTGTGTTGCACCATCTCTCAGACCGCAGCCAGGGAGTCGAGAAAAACCAACAGAAGCCAGCCCTTCGCAACTTTCTTTCATACTACGACACCATGTCATACACTGACCACCTCCGCTTTTTCCAACAAGCCTCAGAGTCGGCTTGGGCATTATCGCACAGTAAGACAATATCGTCCGCATACTCAAGGTCGAGAAGTCTTTCTCCAGGCAACAGATCCACACCACCATTACTTACACCCATCAGAGCTTTTCCAGAATGTCTTCTATGGCAAAGTTGAAGAGGGATGATGAGGTTGGGCAACCCTGCCTAACCCTACTTCGTGAATGGAACAATGGAGAAAGGTGGTTGCATGCCCTCACTCTACCTGAGGTGTTTGTATATAGGGCATTTAGGATGTTAATTAACTTCTCAAGCACACCCTTCTTCAATAGACAATCCCAGAGAACAGTCCTGTCCAACGAATCGAAGGCAGCCCTGATGTCAAGAAACACTACGATTGTTGGCCTTTGATAAGTATGGCGGTGTTCTAACGTTTGGCGGAGGGCGAAGATGCCAGACTGTAAAATGTGTTTATGTTGAGAATATAACGTCTACATATTCTGGAACAAAGTTCTGTAATTAATCCATGGTTTTGCTGATCTGATTCTTCGATAAATATTTTTCTTACTCTAAGTGATTAATAATAAATATATTGTAGAGAACGGAGAAGTCAAGTAGGGATAACTGATTTATTGTTTAGTTCCTTCGTAAAGTGTGGAAACAATACATTAAATACTGCACTTGAAAATCTTCCATCAATTGTCCTGTACAACCTTCATGATTATTCCAATTCTCAGTTCCTTTATGTTTTCCTTTCGGTTTCCTTCAGTTCAGTCTTCTCACCCTTCTTTTGACAGGCATTCCTTGTCCGATTGGTGTTACACACTACTCATGTCCGTCGATATAGGTGGCATACACCACAATGAGTGAAATTAAGTCTTATCGTCTTACTAATCGTTGACAGAAAGGTTATAGCATATAAAAAACACTGCAAAGTTTTTGATTTTATCATTGCCATTGTTTTTGATCTATCTAAATTGTCTGTTGTTATGTGTCAAAGCTATACTTTTTCATGCTTTTGAATATCTAATTGAATGCTCGAACAATGAATACTATGTTTGTCATCCCGACTAAATCTATGCACACTTTCTGCTTATTTCACACAGTACGCCACGTGAATGTACTTGCTTTATCAACCTTTTCTACCTGCTTGAGATACAACAATCTTTAAACATTGCCTGGAAACTGGTTGATCAGTAGGGCTGTAGAAATTAATTATTATGAAGTGGCTTCTGAAAACAACAATCAGAGTCAGACCAGTTATCAAAGAAGCCCGTAGAAGGTTACTCACGTCCCATTAAACCAGTTACTCTTCAACATTAGTACCTGAACATGAAATAAATACCAAATAAAAACTGTTCCTAGAAATCTCAGTGAAAATATTTGTTATAAATACCACAAGAATAAGAACCTTCTTTATCTTAAAAATTAAATATTCTGATTAATTTCATAAAACCTAATAGAAAGCTGTATAATAAATAATAAACAGTAATGTAGTCGACAGCACTTTAATGTCCTTTAATTCTTATATCATTTTTCTATATTTAGACAATGTCCAATGTCAGTAATCAAACGTATCATAGTACATCTGAATTTCATTTGTCCAATAATTCCTATTTTACTTTGGCTTATTCCAATCACTGATCATATTTCTAATTCATTGATTACGCTCACGCATAGTAATTCATTGACTGGGAAACCTTTTCTCATCATAATTATCAACTTTATGTCTAATCTATTCATGAAACATTTGGATAGTATTCGACTAATTGTATCTTTGGCAGTTGTACTCTTTCGTCTTTCCACTGTTCGTTGGACATTACAAGTATGTGTCTGGTTTTTTATGCTCATTGTTTAGTCCATATGTACTATTGTTAGTAAAATGGATTTAAAGGATAATTTACGAGTGACTATCTTTTTTTCGGAATAGTTTTTAGGAATTCTTGAGATGCTCCTATAAAACTTTCTTTGCCAGTGTTTTTACTTAATAATCAAACTAGATATAAAATTATTAATTTGAATATTTTTTCAAATTAATTTCGTATTGTTTCTATGCCATGGACACAGTACTCATATTCTTACTTAACAAGTAATCACGTCACATAAATCACTTGGCTTATTTATATACCACGATAAGTCAAGGAAAGGAAAGTAACAAAAATGACATAATTGGTAATGAAAAAACGAATTAATGAATTTTGAGCTTTGTAAATGATTTTGACCCATACCACCTAAAGCCTGTAACAATAAACTTCAAATCCCTTGTAAATTATATTGAAAACCCCTAACTCTTTTCTATACGCGTTATTTCAACAGTTGCGAATACAGGTTTAATGGAAATTAATATTTTACCATGTGTACATCACGTGTATCGCATGCTTTTATGTACATGTGTATACTGTAAGCGTATAAAGAGTTTAGGAGTATACAAGTATGCAAATTGTAACTTGAAGGTCCCATTACACCTTATCATTAGAGGAATGACCTATTGTTTTAATCGTTTGGTTACATATTCACTTACTTCAGTTCGAGCACCTGAGTAGTATCATCATCAAAGCCAAATACATGAACCTATGGGTCCTCACCTTTAAGATATATCATAAATATTCTCTATTTCCTGTCTTCGATGGTTCTATACTGAAAGTTGATCTGTGATGTAAACTAGTAATTAAACAACCTCTAAAAACCCATGCAAATAATAGTAATAATGTCCTCACTAGTGATTAATTTCAATCGAAATTTCCGATCTTCAAACGAGATGCTATGCCAGGCTTGAAACAAATATCACTGGTGTCAGTGGACAATGGCTACACAATAACTCGACTTGATCAAAGTGAAAATGTGGACCTCTGTGTACTAACTCAACAGTTTAAAAATTCAAGCGCTCATGACGAGTCATAAAGGTCCTCTTGGTTTCGATCCCTAACATGACCTAAGTGCGCACTTCTGAAAAGCTCCATAAATAGGACTAAATAGCTCTCCACTCTTTATTTTTCTAGTGATTTTCCAGCTGAAGTTAGCTTGTAATGTAAACTATCTTCAAATCAACCTATCTCCATTAGTCGCCCATACCGTTACTTGTTACATTCTACAACCAACCAATACGCAACAAGGACTTAGAAGACTGGTACCCTTTCCCTAACGGTCGGCCCAATGCTAAATAGCCTCAAACAAAGCGGAAAAACGCAAGACCAATGTTCATTGACCCAAAATAATTATTATATTTCAGACATTCATTTATATATATACAAGGCCAGACCATACAACAGACCAACTGGATAACAGCATTAACACGGAACAACAAAATTAATGATGGGAAAACGGAGTACTATGTACTTAAATAATTGGTTGTAGTTAATAAGTGTGTCATGAACGAGATTTGGGTGGGGACAAACAATTTATTGCTTGGTACAAAATTACAGAATATTTCGGTAAAATATGACAACCATATATAGAATACTTAATTTGCAAATTTCCATCATTTTTCCTTAACATTCTGTATGGTTCCTCCAATTCATAATTCCTTTCTATTTCCCTTTCTATCCTCTTCAAATCAATCTTCTTAGCCTTCTTCTGTTCAGTTTTCCACTTCCGACTGATGTTAAATACTATTTATGTCTGTCGACATAAGTAGCATACACCACAAGTGGAAGATGCTATAGCAAAAAATTACGGTTCAAATAAAAGCTTAGAACTATGGTAATAAGAAAATAATTAATAAAAATGCAATCAGTATATGTAAATAAAGTCGTAGAAAAATAGCTTCGAAAGTTTTTACCTCATAGTTAAATAGTCTCTTACAACATTACTGATTCTAGGTGTTCTGCACTTTTTTCTCCACCATAAGTAATGTTCTTAGAATAACTAAAATTTTCAATCTATCAAATTCGTTACCATTTGGTTTCAATATAACTTAATCAACTTTTTTCTTGTTGTTGTTAAATAATTGAGTAATTCAAATGTACTAATAACAATACTTATTTCAAATTCAATTTTATTTGTTTTTAAAAAAATACAATAGGCTTATTTAAATTCTGCCCAAGATAAACTGGATAAATTTACCCATGAAGCAGGACAAACTTCAAATAAAGAAGTACAACGATTAGTTGCAAGTATATTTTATTGTTTAAACCTAGTCGCTTTACAGTATATTTCACCTTGTTTTCTTTTCTTATGTCTTTTATGCTTATATAAAAATTTATCAGGTCTATCATGGTTACCTTATGATTATCATCAACAACAATATCTATATTCTTCTGATACATTAAATGTATTACCATCTTTTGTATCGAATATTCAAAATAATTTTACTAATTATTTTTTAATTGATTTCATGAATCAAAATAATTTTACTTCATGGTCAACTGTATTTATGCAAGCTAGATATATCTTTAGTCAAATTATGGATCATTTCTTATTTCATGGAATGATTATTTCACGTGGTATATTTGGATTTTTAGTATGGTGGACGATAACTAGTTGGCAGTTGATGTGTTTTTTAGGTTTAGCTTATCATCGATTTGCAAATGAATAAGAACTACAGTGAAATTAGACTTATTCTCTGTCAAATTAAGTGAAATATCTTTTATTTTTCTTTTGTAATTTAGACCAATTTATCAACTTTACTTCTTATACTGTAATTTAATTTTAGTATTATTATTGTTACGTTTAATGATAGTGATGATGGTATTTGTACCTTTTTAGCATTTTGTTTCCAATAAGACCAACAAACATACCCCTCCTTCTTTCTCTTCTCTCTCTCTCTCTCTGTATATATATATATAATCGGGCACATATTAGCACAGCATGATGATACTGTCAAGACAAACGTCAAAGTAGTAATAGTACTGTTATTAGTAGTAGCAAACATTGGACATAAATAATATAATTCTAGAAGAAAGGATGACTTCGTGTCATAAAAAGTAAAAGTATTTTAAGGCGCTATTATGAACTATATCACTCAACAGTGTCAGTCACTAAGCTACAACGTAGGACCAGGCACATATATGCGTCGGTCCAAGTTGCTATACCTCATTAGCACAACAAGATGAACACCGAATTCATAGAAGTAGTTAATTCAATGGTGATAATATATAAAAGAAAGATTGCATATAATGATATGATACAGGGAGAAAGAATTAGTTTGCAGAAAGAAAGTTAAAGCAATTTTAATATCACGGTTTAAGGGAAGTCAGAGAGTGTATACACCGAAGCTATTGTGATCGATTCTGCCATGCCAATAAGAGTCTCCAACCATTGGTTACGAAAGTCACGCGGACCCCAACCAAGTAGTCTGCATCTACCAACATGGCTCAGACCAGAAGTTAGTGACTTCAAGCACTGATGCCACATTTTGGTTTGGCCGCCCCTAACTTCCTTCCAACCATCCCTAACACTATTCAGCATTACGCGTCGTGGTAATCGGGGTTCAGGCATACGTAACACGTGGCCCAACCATCTCAGTTGATGAAGATTCACAACCTCATCAACTGATTTACCACCATTACTTAATACCCTGAGTCTAACCTCTATCACTTACCTGATGATCCCAGCAGACGCCAGCAATATTTCTACGGCATCTGTGGTCAAATACTTGTAGATGAGTATCTTCTACTCTTGATGGCCATGTTTCTAGGCCGTAAAGTAGAACGAAACGAATTGCTGCTCAGTATGTTCGTCCCTTAATTGATAGAAGGATATCTCTCCTTCGCCATAGGTGACGTAAGCTGGCAAAAGGCAAACGAGCTTTTCGAATCCGTGCAGAGATTTCGTCATACACCAATTCATTAGTACTGATCTGACTTCTAAGGTAAGTGAAGTTTTCGACGCGTTCGACTACCTCACAAACATTCTGGCATTGTTGCTGAGTGTCATTAAAAGACTGCATTTTATCAGCATCTTCGCGAAACAGGACCATACGATCTTCATATTATAAGTCGATGAGTGGACCTCCTGGTAGATCAATGCCCGAGAATTCAGTCGACGAGAGCGTTATTTCCAGCAGTATGTCTATGATAAATTTGAAAAAAATGGATATAGTGGACAGTCTTGCCGGACAGCGAGGTTTCAGTAGACCTGGAAGTGTTTTGAGCACTAGAATGGTTGGCTATAGTGACACTTGAGGAGGAAGTTTGGAGTTGAAAGTCTGTGTAGGATGAATAATAGGAATTGAAGAGAGAGGTTTATTATGAATACAGTGGTTTTGAGTGCTGTTAGAGGTATGAGGGTGGTTATCACCTCACGGTTGCCCACACCGTGGGAGGGTTCTTCTGGAGGTACCTGAAAAGGAAGTCGGATTAGAAGTTGTCTTAGTGACCCGAGAGCGTGACCGCAGTGCCCAAGGGACAACTACTTGAGGTTGGTCACACACGACCTTTTTATGAGTAATTTTCGTGTGGGCTCCGTACTTGTTGAAACCTTACCGCCGAGGACGGAAATCCATGGGATAAGACGAGGTGTGCATTTTTAGGGTCGACCGTTTCTAACCACACCCCTCTTTGTGGAAAGGCAGCATCACTGTTATGCTGGTTGTCTGAAGGAAACATCTTACTGCCGTCACAACTCTGTACAGTCAGTAGTACGACTTCGCCTTCGGACCTTGGGTTTGCCGCTCTTAGTCTTATCGACCCATTTGGCATGGTAGGACCTTGAGAAACGTTTGCTCTAGTCACTATAGCTCAATTGGTTTATCACGATAGGCAAGCTCTACCGCCACCGTCAAGGTAGCAACAACGTCATGAAATAACGTCATCCATATTTCTCAAGTTAATAATTAGATCTGGTAGCTGGTCTATTTCTTTAGTGTTACACGAAGCAAGTTTTATCTTATGAGAAATGTTTTACGTGAAGTTTAAAAAATAGGAATAGTGAACAACCCTGCTAAATCCCATATTGGATTAGAAATTCTGATGAATGCTCAATCTACACCATAACATAACCATCAGTGTTTGAATCAAGATCTTTTAAAGTGTTAAGCTACTTTTTGTCCCTCCCTTCAGTAGAATGCACTTCCATAAGACTTTTCAATAGATAGAATCATAAACATTTATATTGAGGAATATATTTATAGAGTTTATGTATACACTGTCACTTCCAGTATATATTATCATAGGTGACAACTATCAAGTAAAATCCAGAAAATAGACAAATTAATCACTTACTGTACTTATAATTCTGTTACTATTAGTGTATGCCTTCGGAAATTGGTTATATTTAACGAAACATTTTCAGATGACTGTACTAAGTACTTGTGTTACTGAAAACATGTGTTGAGATAGTATTGGATTAAAGTCTCCACCTCAATTATCTCTAGATGGTTCATAATACTATTTGACAAATGGTCATCGAACTAGTTCAGTCCAAAGCATCCTCGATATCAACTGGTCGCTATATATATACTTACATAAGTCATTCAATTATCCTCATGTTTAGTACAAAACAACATTCTACTCTGTCTTCTAGGAGACATTTAAAGTTGAAAACCAAACTGGCGACTTCTACTAGTGTAAATTTTACTTTGAATTTTAAGTAGATGTATAGATTTAGTCTCAGTTATTCGAAGTAAACCTGTCACTCGTTAACAGTTATAGCTTTACAACGATAACTATCTAAATATATGTGGGGCCTAATTTTTGTCAGTATGTTTTCTTGATTAAATCTCTGTGACGTTTTACAGCGGGTCTCGAGTTTTCTCACACTCCAGGCAGGCTTATATTCAGGTTGACGAAACTACAACTTCGACATATGTACATTTCAAAAAACCGCTTTTCTTATTTAACTTAATACTAGGATTGTCTGATAAACCATGTTTTTGTAACTCAGACTTCATCCCTCTCACGCATATGTTAAGAACCACCAGTATTTTGTAGGCCCGCTTCTGACTACTCATAAGTAGTTCGTAATAATTCTGCCAAACTTTAGGAGAGTTACCGGTCATTTTGAGTTTTAGCTAACCTATTGACATCTATATACTCTGAAAAGATGGTTCTACATCGTCTGTAATTACAAATTTGATTACATTCCTAGACCGTGGCCAACTTAACTGGGCATAAACAGGTGAAATGCCTTTGTACTCTGATGAAACTTAAATAATTTCTCGAAGAAAGGATTGAGCACTTAAACGAACCATAGATTTTTTGACAAATTTGCTCCAAACTATGGAAGTTTTTGTAACAATTTGTCATATTTCTCCTCAATTATTCTGCATTACTCGTTATTGATTATTCTCTCAAGTGAATATATGTCACTTTGAATTATACATTTGTTAGTTTTAACCATTTGTACAAATGTGTCTAGTAATTATTAGTTACATTACTATTCACTCGATAATCAATATAATTACGTTGTTAATAACTCATTCAACTTATCTTAGTGCTTTTCAAGTCAAAAAAGACTGTATTCTAGTTTGTTTATTTAACAGTGAATGGAACCTAAGTTATATGCTTCCATACAACCCATATCCTTTCGAACTTCAGTGGTTACACAATGATGTAAAACTGGTATCTCACTAGCAGAGACCATGTCAAAAAATCCTATGCATCGTATTTATTTTGATAAGATGCATTTCACGAAATTAGAAATAATTAAAGTGATTATCTTTCAATGAGATAGTACCGTAGATACGGTAGTACAACTAAAGGAATAAGGAAAACAACTTAATTCTAAACTAAATGATTTTAAAAAAGCTTTAGAATCTCGAAAGAACAGACATTATGTATGAAATGTAATAATGAATGTTGTAAAGACTACACTAATTTGATAAGGTATTGATTATAACTGAGACAGCTGAAATAATTATTTGTTCCCAAGACCGATTCCCAACTCTTTAAGCCAACAAATGTCAAAAAATATAGACACAAGCTTACAAACCGGAAATATGAATATATATTACTAACTTTTTATTCATAAATTATTCAACCAAATTAGTATAACTATGCATTGAGGGCTAGTTAACAAATACATCAAGGCAAAAAAACACGTCGTAAATAACTCAAAACACCTCCATAACAGTCACTGATATAAATAAGTCGCATTCTTAGTATTTCCAAGTACGCTCATAGAGTAATTGTTTGGATTTCGGCATTCAAAAGCTTTTTTACATATCTTATTACCAATATATTATTTTACAAATACAACAGAATGTTAAAATCTGTAAACATGTGCTATAAGTAATTGATTTCGAATGTAAACATTAGAATAGTCGTCTTCTCACATAAACCTTGAGTTGCACAACAGGAATTGTCCAATTATTTAAGACTATGTTCCTATCCAAAAAAGTATATAAAAATTAACGAATTAAATTCGAAAAATGAATACAAACCGTTATGTATATGATCCATTTCATTGCTCCATTTATATAAGGACAGTGTGAATTCCAATTGTACCTGTAGAGTGAAATTCACATAACGGACATTTGCGTACTCGATATATTAGATCCGATTTATCAGTATCCTAAAGATAAAAAGAAGTGGACAATAAAAATACCAGTAATATGTTTTACCATAATCTATACATAAGTGAATACGAAATTATGCAACAGTGATCAGATCGTTTTATGTAACTTTTGCGGCAGACATTTAATTGATAATGATTCGTTCACACCAACATTTTATCATTTCTATGTATTATCTCCGTCTGTATTCTCATGATAACTCTAGGTTTGTTGAATTCTTTTTTGTAGTGCATACAACTGACAATCCTGTACTGCATATTCATCCTGACATCATCTGAGCATGATCGATTAAATCTAC